AGCTGGGTAACAGGCGCCCGCCACCACGGCCCTGCTAATTTTTGGTCTATTTTTTAGTTAAGACGGTTTCACTATGTTGGCCAGTCGTCTTGAACTCCTGAGACCTCAGTTGATCCACCCACCTCCCAAAGTCTGGATTACAGCTGAGCCACCGATGCCCGCCTATGTTGGTGTCTCTTATGGTTTCATGTTTGTTTTACTCAGGAGGCTGAGGCAGGAGAATTGCTTGAACCGGGAGGCAGAGGTTGCAGTGAGCCAAGATCACACCACTGCCCTCCAGCCCTCTGGGCAACAGAGGGAGACTCCATCTCAAAAACAAATAAATAAATCAAATAAAAGAACCAAATAACCAGGCATGGTAGCTGATACCTGTGATCCCAGGACTTTGGGAGGCTGAGGTGGGTGGGTCACTTGAACCCAGGAGTTCAAGACCAGCCTGGGCAGCGTAAGGAGACCCTGTCTCTACAAAAAATCCAAAATTTAGCCTGACCTGGTAGGAGCTGAGGTGGGAAGATCATCTGAGTCCGGGAGGTCAAGGCTGCGGTGAGCCGAGATTGCGCCACTGCATTCCAGCCTGGGCAACAGAGCGAGACCGTGTCTCAAGAAAAACAAAAACAAACAAAAAACCCCCAAATAACATGGATGGTGACAGGCGCCATGAGGGGCTGACATGGGAGTGGGACACAGGCAGTGGCTGGCAGGGGGCGGGCGGGGATGGGGGTCAGGGAGGAAGAGGCTCCTGCTGGGCCAAGTGTGTCATGGTCCCCTCCACACACGCCACCAAACTCTTACTGCTCCGAGCCATACTCCGTCCCTGTTCCCCAGCCTAGGGGCTATGCTGGGGCCTGACCCTTCGTGAACCCTCCTCAGTCCCGGTCAAGTGGACCTCCTCCCCCGCTCTCCACAGCCCTCGCCCTTGTCTAGGCCACCATCACCATCACCAACACCATCCTTGCCAGCCTGGAGTGCCCTCTCTCCATTCTGTGGGGCTAATGGGGGTGGCTGTGTGGGGAGCCTCTGGGGTCTACCGTTGGGGAGCTCTGCATGACTGAGGTTGGGGGTTCTCTGGGAACCTGTGGCCAAGGGTCTCTGGTCACAGTGCTGAGGTGGGGCTGGCTTTCCCACAGTGGAGTCCATCGATGATTACGTGAACGTTCCGGAGAGCGGGGAGAGCGCAGAAGCGTCTCTAGGTGAGTGACCGGTGCTCCTCGGTGCCTGCCCCTGCACCCCGCCGCCCCACCATGCTCTCAATGTGACCAGACCCCACCCTGGGACTGCCCACACCCTCTGCCCCCTCTGTCTGGGCCTCCCCCTGCTCTCTTGCCCCCCTGACCCCTTTGCATGGCTGCCCCTCCTTCTGATCTGTCTCCACAGATGGCAGCCGGGAGTATGTGAATGTGTCCCAGGAGCTGCATCCCGGAGCGGCTAAGACTGAGCCTGGTGTGTGCTGCGGGAGGCGCAGGAGCTGGGGTAGCTGCCTTGGGCTTGGGGGGATAGCTTGCAAGCTGGAGACCAACCTCCCCTCCCCTACAGCCGCCCTGAGTTCCCAGAAGGCGGAGGAAGTGGAGGAAGAGGGGGCTCCAGATTACGAGAATCTGCAGGAGCTGAACTGAGGGCCTGGGTGAGAGGCCTGCCCTGTCCCCACCCTGTCCTGGGCCCGCAGCCTCTATTCCCTCCCTCCAGGACCCCTGCCCAACCCTACCTCCGGCTTGTCCCTCTGTCTCTGGGTACCTGCAGATCCCCATCAGCCTCCTGATCTATATCCCTCCCTGCCCTGGTGTGTTTCAGTGGAGGCCGAGTCTGTCCTGGAACCAAGCTTGTCTGGGACGGCTGGAGCTGGACAGCTGGAAGTGGCTCTGGGGTCCTCACATGGCGTCCTGCCCTTGCTCCAGCCTGACAACAGCCTGAGAAATCCCCCCGTAACTTATTACCACTTTGCAGTTCGGCCTGTGTCCCCCGAACACTCTGCACCTTCTGACGCAGCCTGACAACAATGACCTGCCCTGGCCCCAGCTCTGCTCTGTGTAATAGAATAAAGGCCTGCGTGTGTCTGTGTTGAGCGTGCATCTGTGTGTGCCCGTGTGTGAGTCTGAATCAGAGATTTGGAGATGTCTGTGTGTGTGTGTCTGTGTCTGTGTGTGTGTGTCTGTGGGTCTCCATCCTTCATGGGGGCTCAGCCAGGTGCTGTGAGTGACAGCAGACAGTGGCTGGGACACCCCCCTTCTGAATGAGGCCTTCTGACTTGGGCTGGCACTGCTGAGGCTCAGGACACATCGCCCCATGAGACAGTCCCAGGACACAGCAGCTGCTGGCTGTGACAATGGTTTTGCCATCCGTAGGCCAAGGGATGGGACCTGATGACCTGGGAGGACTCTCTTAGTTCTTACCTTTTGTGGTTCTCAATAAAACAGAACTTAAAAAATCGTCTAAGCAACTGAAAAAGTTAATATGCAGCACAGCACTTTTGAGACTTTGATGGGTAGGTGACTCACCAGCAGACTTTACTGTGGGGCGGGTTCTGACTCAGTTCGCCTAGGACGTGGCCTGCGACTTTGCATTTCTGAGCCGCTCCTGTGTGATTCTGATGCTGCTGGTCTATGAACCTCATCTTGTGGAGCAAGGGCATGGTGAGCATCTATTGCCTTTACTTGACCGGGATCCATTTCCCTATTTTGGGAATTTCACCCTGGCTTTCCTCCGCGATTCACTCCTTTCCCAGTCTCATTTCATGTAGTTTTAGAGATTGTGTGTTTTTTTTTTTTTTTTTTTTTTGAAATGGGGTCTCCCTCTGTCACCCAGGCTGGAGTGCAGTGGCACGATCTTGGCTCACTGCAACCTCTACCTCCTGGGTTCAAGCAATTCTCTCGCCTCAGCCTCCTGAGTAGCTGGGATTACAGACCCCCACTACCATACCCGGCTAATTTTTGTATTTTTAGTAGAGATGGGTTTCAGCATGTTGGCTGGGCTGGTCTCAAACTCCTGACCTCAGGTGATCCCACCCGTCTCGGCCTCCCAAAGTGCTGGGATTACAGGGGTGAGCCACCGCACCTGGCCTGTTTTTTCTTTTTTGGAAATGCGGTCTCACTCTGTTGCCCAGGCTGGAATGCGGTAATGCAATCATGCCTCAGTGCAGCCTTGAACTCCTGGACTCAAGTGACCCTCCCAGCTCAGCTTCCTGAGTAGCTGAGACTACAGACGCACACCCCCATGTCCGGCTAATGTTTTATTTTTTGTAGAGATGGGGGGTCTCACTGTGTTGCCCAGGCTGGTCTTGAACTCCTGAGCTCAAGTGATCCTCCTGCCTTGGCCTCCCAAAGTGCTGGGATCATAGGCATGAGCCATTGTGCTCAGTGTCTCCCTGGGATTTAAGGTGAATGATCTCATCTGGCCTGGAGATTGTTGAACACATGACCTAGACCTGGGCCTAGGTCACCATCCTTTCCCTGACCATTGCGATTGGCTCAGGTATGGGCATGTGACCCGGCCTGGGCCAATGAGGAGCAGCCCTGGGATCCAGGCGGAAAGTGCTGGGCAGGAAAAGCTCCATCTCTTCCAGGCAGTGATTAAGCTGGATGGATACAGGCCTGGAGCCACCACTTGGAGAGCCTACCTAGGAATGAAGCCAACGTGGAGGCGAGAGTGGCCCGGAGAGGGACAGAGCCAGCTTCCTAACGGTGTCATTAGAATTCCCGGAACTGGGCCCGGTGTGGTGGCTCCCGCCTGTAATCCCAGCATTTTGGGAGGCCGAGGCGGGTGGATTGCCTGAGGTCAGGAGCTCAAGACCAGCCTGGCCAACATGACGAAACCTCATCTCTACTAAAAATACAAAAATTAGCCAGGTGTGGTGGCGTGTGCCTGTAATTCCAGCTACTCAGGAGGCTGAGGAAGGAGAACTGCTTGAACCTGGGAGGTGGAGGTTGCAGTGAGCCGAGATCGTGCCACTGCACTCCAGCCTGAATGACAGAGCAAGACCGTCTCAAAAAAAAAAAAGACTCCTGAATCTGGACATACCTGAAGCACTGCGTGGGCCTATAATGGCAGTTTTTCTTCAACCAGCTTTACTTGGGGTATCTGTCACTACAGCCAAAGTTGTTCTATGATGAAAAGTTGTTGGTGGTTCTCTATGGATTCCAAAGGTAATAACGGCGGCTCCATTCAAGGCCAGCCAGGTGCAGTGGCGCATGCCTGTGACAGTGACTCCTCAGGGAGCGCCCATTGCATTGCCATGCTCATTACATGCAGTCGTCATAACCCCTCTATTGTCAGTTACAGTTTAGTGTCCCCATTATGCAGGAGAGGAAACACAGGCTCAGAGAGGTGAAGTGACTTGCCCAAGGGCACACAGCTGAAGAGGTACACCTGGGATTAGATCTGTGGCTGTGGGCCCCGTCGGGTCACTGCTGCTCTGACTGGCAGCCTCCTCGTTCTGATGATGATGATGATGATTTTCTTGAGACGGAGTTTTGCTGTTGTCGCCCAGGCTGGAGTGCAGTGGCGCAATCTCGGCTCACTGCAACCTCCGTCTCCTGGGTTGAAGCGATTCTCCTGCCTCAGCCTCCCAAGTAGCTGGGATTATTATTATCATTATTATTGTTTTGAGACAGAGTCTCATTCTGTGGCCCAGGCTGGAGTGCAGTGGCAGAATCTCGGCTCACAGCAACCTCCGCCTCTCAGGCTCAAGCGATCCTTCCACCTAAGCCCAAGCAGTGGGGACTACAGGCATGCACCACCATGCCCACCTAATTGTATTTTCTGTAGAGGCGGAGTCTCACCGTGTTGCCCAGGCTGGTCTCGAACTCCTGAGCTCAAGCAATCTGCTTGCCTTGGCCTCCAAAACTACCGGCATTCCAGGCGTGGGCCGCTGTGCCTGACCAGAAACAATCTTCTTCTTTTTTTTTTTT